CCAAAGAAGATATGCAACGTAGCTCCAAATTTGCATAGCTTCTTTTGGCAGAAGAAAGCAGTCTAGATGTAAGCGAAGGGTGTGTCTACACAGCAAAGTTATTTCAGAATAACAGCTGTTAATCTGAAATAACTATGTGAGCATCTTCACAGTAATTCCGTTATTTTGAAATTATTCCAACTTCTGTAAACCTCATTGTACAAAGAATAACATCTATTCCAAAACAGCTATTTTGAAATAAGGCGTGTGTAGACGCTCCACTTCTGCTATTTCAAAATACCCCTTCACCAGGCCCATTCTAAGTTATTCCTCTGGGGCTCTAAATCGAGATAGCATATCTACATTAGGGAAGCCTTCCTCGGACTAATTTTGAGGTGTCCCTGCAGTGTAGATGGGGTATTTTGAGATAAGCTATTCCAGAATAGCTTATTCCAAAATAACTGTGCAATGTAGACATAGCCTAAGGGCATGTCTACACAGCAACAATATTCAAAGTAATAGCTTTATTTCAAAATAACTTAGTCCATGTCTACACAGCAGGCAGTTATTTTGAAATAATGTTGAATTACTGTCAAGCTGGAGGACTTCTTACTCCAACTCCTGTAACCCTCATTGTATGAGAAGTAAGGGAAGTCAGAGGAATAAGTGCTATGTAGACACTCCCAATTTTGAAATAAGCAATTTTGCAATAAACTATGCAATTGACGTTGCTCAATTTATGTAGCTTATTTCACAATAAGCCCTGCTACGTAGACACACCCTAAGGCTATGTCTGCACTACCAGATTATTTAAAAATAAGTTATTTTGAAATAAAAACTCCCAAAATAACTATTTTGAAACAAGCAGGAGTTATTATTTCAAAATAACAAGCCCATTATTTTCAAATAACAGGCTTGGTAGTATGGATGATCGCCTTGTTATTTCGAAATAAGGGAGTTATTTCAAAATAATTCCCCAGTATAGACATGCCCTTTGAAATAATAACTCCTGTTTTCCTTGGGAAATACGTTTATTTTGAATAGTTATTAAGCGTGACTATATTGGTGCATTCAGGAAAAAAATTGGAGCAACTATCGCAGACTGTTTAACCAGGGTCTCGTGCCCACAGAATATGCACACAGGTTTTCACCAGCATTATGTGGAGCAGTGCATCTTGGGATGTCCTGCCACACAAAAAGCTGGAAGGAAGGAGGCCCAGCCATCCCAGTTACATAGTCACAGTTTGACAACCCATATATTACCCAGGATAAGTGTGGACACAGGCCAGGTAGTACTCAGTACAGATTAAGGGAGGCAGCAAAGGTGGTTTCACAACCTCTTTACATACTTTGCCCCCCCTTCCAAGGTTGGCCACGGGCTAATTTGACCCCCCCCCCCGCCAGCTCAAGTTACAGCAGCTTCATGATTGTTATAAACTCCAATGTTTCCGAAAGAGGCTCATTTGCTGCCAGGGCTGGGGCCATCATGACTATAATATAACACCGTTCATCTACCACTGGAGGATCTCAAAGTGCTTTACGAATCTTAATGACTTCATCCTCCCAACATTCCTGTGAGACCGGGAAACATCATCCCTAGAGACTCAGCACAGACTAGGCACAGTGTAGGCAGCTTTAATGGGAACTTTTCCATCCTCACCCCCATACTCGGTATATTTAGCCCTGACCTAGAAAGACCATCCTTTCTAGGGCTGAGTTGTGATTCAGACAGTCTGCTTACTAACTTAGATGTGAGCCACAGCTGACTAGCGACTGCCAACTGTGCCGAATCAGAGCTGATTAGAGGTGGGAGAAAGTTTGAAAAACAACATGCCCAAGCAAATGTGGTATGTTTGAAGTACTGCAAATATATATATATATATATATTTAACTTTATGGTGATGTTTTTAAAAAAACCTCAAACAACCTGCCCCCCCCCACCAAAATATCACACCTCCCTCCCACCTCTGTGATTGGAGAGAACAGCTAGCCAGAGTGTTGCTATTTTGAAATTCAGTAAAGTAGAGTAAGAGAGAGAGAGAGAGAGAGAGAATGTGCGCGCGCGCACACACACCAAATGGAGACATATATTTCCATTAGTAGCAGGGTGTACTTCAGAGGAATGCCTCTTCTGTCCCATTCCCAATGTAGAAAGAAAGAAAGATCCTTGAGATTTAGGGCAGATACTAGTTTTCTATCACAGAAAAATATCCATTTTACATGAAAAAATGGCAGTCCAAAAATGGTCAAGGAATTGTCCTAAGGCATCAAAAACTAGATCAAATTATGACTGAGTTCAAGCTGCATTTCAGGATGCACTCTCACACCAGTCCTGTGTGAAAATCATAGAATTGTAGGACTGGAAGACTCTTTAATACATCATCTACTCCAGCCTTTTGCACTCAGGGCAGGACTGAGTATTGTCCAGACCGTCCTTAACGGGTGTTTGTCTAACGTGCTCTTAAAAATCTCCAGTGATTGAGATTCCACAACCTCCCTAGTGATTCTAGTGTTTAGCCACCCTGACAATTAGGAAGTTTTCCTAATGTCCAACCTAAATCTCCCTTGCTGCAATTTAGGCCCATTGCTTCTTGAAGTATCCTCACTTGTTAAGGGAAACACTTTTTTTCTCCTTCCTTCTGGTAACAACCTTTTAGATACTTGAAAACCCTTATGTCCCCTCTCCGTCTTCTCTTCTCCAGACTCAACAATTCCATTTTTTCAGTCTTCCCTTATAGGTCCTGGACCTTTAATCATTTTATGGTCTTTTGTGGACATTCTCCAGTTTGTCCACATCTTTCCTGAAATGTGGCACCTGGAACTAGAAACAATACTCCAATTCAGGCCTAATCAACATGGAGAAAAGTGGAAGAATTACTTCTCATGTCTTACTTACAAGATTCCTGCTAATACACCCCAGAATGATTTTTTTTCAACGGTGTTACACCACTGACTCATATTCAGCTTGTGATCCACTATGAACCCACATTGTGTATGTGCAACTGATTGTTCCTTACTAAGGGGAGGACTTTGCATTTGCCCTTATTGAATTTCATCTATTTCCTTCAGGCCATTTCTCCAGTTTACTCAGATCATTTTGAATTTTAACTCTGTCCACCAAAGAGTTGCAATTCTTCCCAGCTTGGTATCACCCACAAGCTTTATAAGTATACTTTCTATGCCATTATCTAAATAATTGAAAAAAATATGGAACAGAACCGGTCAGAGAACTAATCCCTGTGGGACCCCACTCATTATGCCCTTCTAGACTGCATCCCTCTGTTGGCAGAGGGATGCAAATAAAGCACTTCAAAAGTGCAAATGAGCCCGGGATTTAAATATCTCAGGCTTCATTTGCGTACTCATGTTCGGACGCTGTGCCGATCAGGCTCAGTGTCAAAAGTGAAAGTAAAGTGTAACCACGGCTCTGCCGACAGCGGGGAGCTTTTTCGGCAGATCCTGTACTCCTCCAAATATGAGGAGTACAGGATCTGATGAAAAAGCTCCCTGCTGTTGGCAGAGCCATGGCTAGACTTCACTTTCACTTTCAAAAGGGTGCGTGATTGGCACAGTGCCCGAACGTGAGTATGCAAATGAAGGCTGGGATAATTAAATCCCGGGCTCATTTGCACTTTCAAAGTGCTTGATTTGCATCCTTCTGCCGACAGAGGGATGCAGTATGGAGGTAGCCTCTGGTAATGGTTTTCCAACCAATTACGTAGCCACCTTATAGTAGCTCCACCTAAGTTATATTTCCCTAGTTCATTTATGAGAAGGTCATGCAAGACAATATCAGAAACCTTATTAAAGTGTAGGTATACCATATCTACTGCTTCCCCCATCTGCAAGGCTTTTGTTACCCTGTCAAAGAATGCTATCACGATTTATTCTTGACAAATCCATGCTGACTCTTTCTTATCACCTTATTATCTAGGTCAGGGCTTGACAACCTTTGGCTCTCGGCCCACTGGCAGGTCATGAGAGATTTTGCTGAAGTTGAGCCCACCTACAGTTTCCATAAGTCACAGGTCACCATTCTCAGCCAATGGGAAATGGCATGGGCTTCGGGGACATAGTCCTTGATATCTGCAGTCATTTCTATGGATGCTCAACATCAGCAAAATGTCTTGTGGCCCGCTAGTGGACTACCCTGACACGGTGAGAGCCAAAGATTGCCGACCGTGTTTTAGGTGTTTGCAAATTGAGCTGGGGTAGGGACGGAGTAGAGGAAGAGTAGAAGCGGGAGCATAGGGGAAGGGGTGGAGTGAGAGTGGGGCAAAGTAGGAGCAAGAAGAGGCCGGGTCTAGAATGTAGGGGTGTGTGCCCTTGGGCCCCATAGCATACTAGGACAGCCATGTCTGAATTATGCTGCGTTCCTCTTCCCAGTCCATAGAATCATGAATTCTACCATTTCATGATCACATTCACCTCAGCTGCCTTTCACTTTCAAAATGAGGCTTGCATGTAACAGGCACTGAGCCACAACTACCAACCACATCCAGACTGCCAGTTGGACTCTGATCAGACATCCAAAGGTGAAATCTTATCTCCATGCATGTGAGAATGCAGGAGGAGATGCAGATGGTCCCTCTATTCTGGTAATACATTAAAGAGAGTTAAGCAGGCAAATACAGCACATCCCAGACTGGCGAGAAAAGAAATGAGACTAAATGCCATGGTTTAACAAATAATTACAGATTCTTTATATGGACAAGGATTTGTAATCTACCTTCATCCACTTTTTTTTTTCACAGTTTAGA